CTGGCCAACATGGTGAAACCCCGTCTCTACTAAAAATATAAAAAAAATTAGTCAGGTGTGCTGGCACACGCCTGTAATCCCAGATCCTCGAGAGGCCGAAGCAAAAGAATCGCTTGAACCTGGGAGGTGGAAGCTGCAGTGAGCAAGATCATCCCACTGCACTCTAGCCTGGGCAACAGAGTGAGACTCCATCTCAAATTTAAAAAAAAAAGGAAGAGAGAGATTAAGAGGAGAAAGCACACAAGGGGCCTGGAATAAATATGACTGTAAGGCTAGGGTGACAACCGACTATAAGAAATACGGTGAAAGGACAGTAAGTAAAGCTCATTATCACCAATGACACCCAAACCCAAAGCTACAGGGCCCTTTCCAGAAAGTTACAGACCTAGAGACAGAGAAGAACATGAAAGACCTCCCACTGGGAGGAAAGGAGAGAATGGCAAAAAAAAAAAAAAAAAAAAAAAAAAAAAAAAAAAAAAAAAAAAAAAATTGAATCCAGAGAAATGAGAAAATAGGTTTGTGGGTCTGGCATGGTGGCTCACATCTGTAATCCCAAGACTTTGGGAGACTGATGTGGGTAGATCGCTTTGAGCTCAAGAATTTGAGACCAGCCTGGCCAAGATGGCGAAACCCCATCTCTACCAAAAATACAAAAGCCAGCCAGGCTTGGTGGCACACGCCTGTGGTCCCAGCTACTCCAGAGGCTGAGGTAGGAGGATCACTTATGCTTGCAAGTCGAGGCTGCAGTGAGCCGTGATTGTGCCACTGCACTCCAGCCTGGGTGACAGAGTGAGATCATGTCTCAAAAAAAATAATAGGTTTGTGAGGGCTTGCGGTAATGGGGCTGTGAGGATAGAAAGGTGTGTCCTTCAGAGGCTCCCACCTGGGCCCGTCACAGGTAGGATACTACACTACGGAGATGACTGGGGCATGGGGAATACAGGCTCTGTGGCTAGGGATGCCACCAGGAGAGAAGGCCGAGAGAATGTCAGGAAGGCAAATATCAGGGCAGCAATCTCAGGAAAGATTCATGCCAGGCTAGGGGAGGGAAGTCTTGGCCAGAAGAACAGAAGAGCCCAGTCATGACAGCAGGGAAGGTGGCCCCACAGGGCAGGGCAAGGAAGGAGGGGTCTCACCTGCATGGATAGCATCTTGCTGGTGCAGGTGCAGGTGCGAGTGGATGTGGGAGTGCTGGTGGTGATGGGGAGTCACATTGAGCATCTGCAGTCGGGCCAGTGGGTCATTGCCCAGGGCCGCCACCCTTTCTGCATGCTGCCTCTCAGCTGCCAGCCGCTCAGCATAGGACATGTCAGGCCGCAGGGCTGGCCCAGCTGCCAGAGCTAGACGTTCTCGCTCCAGGGGCCCCAGGCTCGGATGAAAAGGGAAAGGGTGCAGGCCGGGTGGGCCAGGCTGCAGAGCTAGGCCCCCATGTCGGGGAAAGGGATCCAAGCCTGGCCCAGGGACCCCGTGTAGGGGTTCCAGCTCACTAGGCTTCACCTCGAAGCCAGGCTTGAGACGGTCACGGAGGTCTCGTTCACGGGCTTCCCGTTCCCTCTCCCGGGCAGCTGGATCACTGCTGTACAGGGCCGGGACGTTGTAACCCAGTAGGCCCGGGTCCACTGCCCCCAGGGGCACGTAGAATGGATGGTTGCGATTGCCAGGAGACATGAC